GAGGAGACTCAGAAACACTGCAACCGAGAAGTGCCCTTTTCACATCCAGTGCTTCCATTCAATCTCTATTTTTTTTTTTTTTTACACATATCATATGGACTGCGTTAAACAGAAAGGAACCAAGCCACATCAGCTATTGCCAAATTTAACTAGGCAATTTAATTTTTTACGAGGGAACGTTTGTGCGGATTCCTTTGAAAATTTTAAGCAATTTGCTTCGTACTATGGAGAAAATCCACTGAAATTTGCAAAAAAGTCCGCACAACCGTTTTCACAAGAAAGATTAAATTGCCTGATTAAATTTGGCAATAGCTGATGTGGCTTGGTTCCTTTCTGTTTAACGCGGTCCATATACTCTAAATAAAGCTGAACTGGGAAATTTAATTCATGGCTTTAGTAACCTGTAAAAGTTCCAAATTTTCCGTCTCAAGTTCTTTGATCCGAGCGAGAAGAGTTTCAGGACTCGTATCAGGACCAATAGACGCAGAGGGTTCATCTTCGTCCACTACATCACCTTCGAGCACAGACTCGACGAGTAAAACGGGATCTGGCTGCTGCTCACTATCCCCCTCGGCCTCGATCCCAGGTTGCGCTGGATGCTCCGCTTCCGGTTCCACCCCCGGCGAATCCTCCGCAGTTTCCAGTATTGAGTCTGCTGCGGATAGTGCTTCCTCAGGGACCTCAATTGTTTCAGTGTGCTCTTTTAACAGCTGCTCTACGAGCTGTTTCCGCTTCTTGATCTGCACTTCTTCTGGAACGGGCTTGGCCGCTTTCTTCTTGGTTAATGGAGATAGATGTTGTGTGGGCACAGCTGAAAGTAAAGAAAAAATATTTTATTTATCTATTTATTTACTTATTTATTTCAATTTCAACGGGACAAGTCTCATTTACATAACACTTAAATAAAAACAAAAGCAACAAAACATACAACAAAACAGGCAAAGAGAGTGTGACTAATAAATAACTAAAACTCGTTCTTTCACCAAAGGCTTAAAATTTGAAATACTTAGGCCATAAAATTGGATCCATTCCGTACAGCTATTTGCAAAATCTGAAATTCTGGGAATAACAGATCTATGCTTCCAGATGACAATATGTGAGGGGATAACAAATAGACGATTTAAATTTCGCAAAGATCTCGGAGGGACATGATAATGAATGTAGCTAAGAAGAGTAGGAGAATCAATAAAATTATTAACAAGTTTAAAAAAAAACATGAGATCATAATAACGCCACATAGAGACTAGGGAGCATAAGTTCAGATGTTTAGCAATATCTCCATAAAAATGATCATGGATTCCTGAGGGGCTATTAGTGCGATAGGATGCAAACTTTAAAAAACTGTGGCGAACTTTTTCAAGTTTACAAATGTTATGGGAAGCATGAGGGAACCAAATAGGAGAAGCGTAAGTTAAAATTAGTAGCCTAAAAACTTAAACAACGTGAGAAGAGACTGAACATCCTGGAAAGGCGAGGAATATATCAGGAAACAGGGAAAATAAACCTTGGTTCTGAGTTTGTAACATATAAGGGATGAAGCTGAGACTTGAGAACCAGGGATGCAGAAGTCTCCCAAAAGTGCGATCATGATCACATCGAAGGCATTGAAAATTGGGAACTTAGCTTGCAATAACATTCGTAGGGCTTGTTTCTTCAAAATTGGCGTAATTTCCATAGAATCACGGTGATGTTTGCGGATTTTTGCACGGGCAAGTAATTGGAGAATAATGGACAAAAAAATTCCATAGCTCTACAAATTCTTGGGGAAAAATTTTATTACAACTGGAAGGCCATTCTGAAAAATGGGAGTGCTGATACATCTCGTCACCCGTGTTGAGAACTTGTGAGGATGAATTTCTCTTGGGGCAGGGGTGCAGAAACTTTCTGACCACAGGATCTACCAGGTCGTGCAACTGGTACTAGAGATGATGGGACAGTCATACAAATTGGGAAAACATGGGGAACATATTTCTCATTTCTTTGGAACTTCTGTTGTTACAAAGTTTTCGCAGTGTAACAGTAGTGTACAATTTTTTTAAGGAGAGGAGAATTATAGAAGTTACGAATAAGGGAGGGAAAATTAAAACTGGGCAAAGGCTTGGAACTTTCAGTGCTCCTCGTTNGGGGGGGGGGGGGGGGGACATTCTGACTGCAATAGCTGATCTACTGAACAGCAGATGCCAAAGGAAATTTCACCTATGTTTTTCCATTATGACATCCATCGACCCAGCCTAACTTTTCACTTGTTCAAGTGTTTGTGTCCTGAAGGATTTTGACTACCTTAAAAGATTGGAAACATCTGATAGAGCATTTACCAGTCTTTTTGAGCCTGACGGGCACTTTGCCCATGAGGCGAGCTCGAAGGGCATCCTCATAATCATCGTTAGTGAAGTGTTCACTGCAAATCCTTGCGTTAGAAACATTGAAGTAATGATTACGCCGACTTGCTAATCGCCATTTGTCCTGGATCTTCTTATCAGCTGGGAAGCGGAAGAAACGCAATACTTGGCCATTCCGATCCACCTTCTTAGAAGAGTTTGGGCATCCCGCAACGACGCACCAATTCGGCATCTGCAACGAGTCCAAGACATTGAGCAATAAATTGATGAAATTGTAAAACGTTCCCTCTGTTCACCTTCTAATAGAATATCTTGACTTTCAGTGGTGCCAAATTCATGGTAAACTTTAACCCATTCGCCTCATGTGACAAGTATAATTGTCAGCCCGCAACTCGGACATATCTCAGCTGACAAGTTAATTCGTGCCATCTGTCGGCGTTGCTACGCTTGAGATGCCATCTATCGGAAAAATGCAAAATTAGCTTGCTGAGCTATGTCCCAGGCGCACGCTGACGAGTATACTCGTCAAATGAAGCAAATGGGTTAACTCATCAGCTCTGACAGCAAACTTTCTTTATTTCAGAGGATGCTTGAAACTTACCTTCAACAATTTTTGGTGGGAAATATCTACTCCTGAAGGAGTTTAAGACATGAAGAAAACTCTGAATTGTTTTAAATGAGGACGGGAAATTTTTTTGCTTGTCAATCACTAAGAAAATTTACATCTCGCAGAGGCAGATCTCTAACCTTCCCATGTAGAAAGGATGCCCATGCAGCTGACTGTTGAGATTGTGGTTCTTGCTCTTTTTGGATTATTACGTACTGACAGTAATGTGGTTCAACTGACGCCAATCAGTTGCATGCGCTAACTAGGTACGTAGAATCTTCCTTTTAGCACTCGTTACATGACGATTACTTATATTCCCACTTGTAAGGAAGAAAGGTACAACTCCCTCTTTCCGTCTTGCACAAATGGGTTCAAAGGTGAGGCAGGCAATGTGCGAGGGAGGAAGATTTCAATCGCTACGAATGACACTGTCTTCATAACTAAGCTCATCTTGGACTAAGAAATTCACACTCAATACAGCGTAATTTTACTGTTGTAATGGGTACATCTGAGCCTCATTGTGACTGAGGGAAATTGCAAGCAGTCTTTGTGAAAGTTCTTTGAGAATCCTTTGGTAAATGCTTGTTAGATGGGAAGAGCTTACCTTGGAATTTAAAAAGAAGCATTAAAACAATCTTCACTTCACCATGGCTGTAAGGCTTAAAGAATTCCTTGGAAGATTATTATTCACTCATGATGGTGACAGTACATTAAATACACCGATCACTGATGGAAATAATACACGATAGAGATAAAACATCGAGTTTCATACTAATTTTTATTTTTAAAAGAGTATGTGTAAAGAGCTGTAAACACAATAATGATAACAGAAGTTCTAAAAGATATATGTTAACAGAGTGGGAGTAATCAATCTCCTCTGGTTGCCACATTGACGTATAATACAATCTAGACCGCGCATTGGGCCCGACTTTAGGCGGGGAAGGTGAGACAGCTAGGGGGGTAAAGACGCGCCTTCAGCCTAGTTGATACCGCCGGATATACGAGCTAAGTGTACCCGTATCAGGCAACGGCACTGGCAAGACTGGCATTTCCGCGAATTCCACCATTGTCTCGCCGGTACACTTAATGTGTGTTGCTGGGTTGCCTATCGTCTCGCTTGAATTTCGTAATGCGCGGTCTAGATTGTATTATACGTCAATGGGTTGCCATTGGTATGACGTAGTTAGAGATATGACGTCAAGCAGGATATTTGGGACTAGCGCGCTCTGACAATGATATGGTGAAGCTGTGTTTATCTATCTAAACTGCTCCCAGGTAGCAGCACTCAAGAGAGCGGGAATTTCAAAAATTAATTTATTTCCTGTCTAGCAGTGTTGTGCGATATCCGCTGTAATTTATTTCCTGCTGTTTTGAATTCAACTAGGAATTAGTGAAGTAACACGGTAATATCCAATCAAAATGCCTGGTTCGGAAATTGCCGTAAAATTTCCGTCATATAAAATGCAGAATGGACGGAATGAGCTGAGAATCATAGAGAAAAAAAAGGCTGAGAATTGTTTATTGTTACCTCAGTCAGAATTGAGGCATTTTTCGATAAAAGTGCGTGTGAGGCTTGCAATGCTGCTAAGATTCAGTAACTTTTCATATCGTTTGCGGCGGATGGATTTCATAACCTGCCAAAATATATGTGTTTAAATGGAAAATTCCTCCAGATGACGTCACAAGGCAGTGCATTTTCTCACTTTTACATACATTTTTAGACTATTTCCCATTACAGAAAAAATACTTAAAAATCAGCTCTTTGAGCACTTTCAGATGAAACAATAAAAAAATTGCGTTCTTTCCCAGTGAAAATACTAAGGGCATCCTTCTACTTGTTTTCTGTCATTGTGCTTGTATCACAAACCTATCATGTATAGAAATAAAGTTTGAATTGAGGTTTTCACGTGAAATTTTATTGATATGACACGTCCTATTTTGGTATCTGAAATAAAGTATTCTTTAGCTCAGTAGTTGGTGACGAAAATAAAAGCCTCTCTACAGAGGCTACTTAATTCAAATCAGTTAGAAGGAAAGACAAAGGAGAACACTTCTTTTTTTTTCATGAATTTGATTTAATTACATCTCCTTTCAATAGAAGACACATAGTTACAAACAATTTTTTTGGAATTATATCAGCTCAAATGTCTCTTAAAAATAAAAGCTTCACTTAAAAGTTTTCACAAGTAATGAACAAATGAAATTTACACAGGATCGCTGATCTAGGCCTCATCTAATGGATATGAATTCATACAGCGGAAAGGCTAGAATAAATAGGTAAATTTGGTGCCATTTCCACAACTCATTTACGGTTATACACATGATAAAAACCTGAGTGGTAAAACAAAAAATAGGCCAGTTAACTGGTGCTTAAAATTAGTTAAAGAACTTTCACGCAAACATTGATAAAATTAACCTACTTCGCAGATTGGTTGAGTAATTTTCAAGTGTCGCCTTGATCAGTTGATCAGTTCCTCATACTTCGTTTTTATTTTACATCATTTTCTTAATCGACATTATACCTGCGTTAACAAATTCTAGTTTTTCTAAATTATTCAGAAGTTATTACATTCAAGATAACTCATGAAGTCCTTGCACAGAATCCTTGCTACCCGTTATGACCATTAAGTTGCCATCACACTGGTCCATTTTCAAACTCATTCTCTACCTGATAAAAATTAGTTGGAACAAATAACAATACATATGCTACAACTTCAAGAATGCCAGAGAATGAGTTTTTGTTCTTCTGGGAAGAAAAAAAGGAAACATGGGGAACAGAAGACTTCCTTTGTTCGTATGTGTACATTAGACACCCTCAATGCTAAAATTGAAATTAAAATTTAAGACTCCACTGACGCCATATTTACAGAGCAAAATGGTTTTCCAGTCTGATAAAGTATTTGATTTTGAGATAAAGGAGTTCCTTACTTTAATTTTTTATTTTTGATACTGCCCTCCCCTCCCATTTAAGGAGATCTTATATATTTTTTTCTTTAAAAAAAAAAAAAACAAACAAAAAATGGCCACTTTCGTAGATTTCCTAGAAAACATTAACAATTTTTTGCCAAACCTCCTAAGATTAAGAGGGTTGAGACAAAATACACCCCTGTTTCTTGGGGTTTAATGTGTTTCTGAAAATATAATTCCTTATTTCTACGATGCAATCCAATTTGAAATTTAGTTCAGTAACAAAAAGTGCCCTCATCGAACTGATTACAACAAGGTCAAATCAATCTGGGGCCGATCACTTCATTACAATCCTTTCATTTTAAAATATTAAAATTAGATATTTACAAAGAAAAGGCAGTTTTGAGCCTGCACAATGCAATTTTAGAGTATGCTCACAATGGACAGAGACAAGGTACAAACAGACTCAATTATAAATACAGAAAATCCTAAGATTATTTTCTTTGGGTCCACGAGCTACACAGTTCATGGGTAAAAACCATCTGTCATTGAACTAAATTATTGAGATCTGAAAAATAAAAATGTAATTACATTAAGATTAAAGAGGAAAAGAGGAGTTTGAGGGAAGGGCGTTGAATGTTACGACAACTCCATTTTTGTTATATATTGTTGCAGCACACAGACTACTACACGGTGAGCAAAATTTCGAACTTATTTTCAATAAAACCTCTTACATTAGATGATCCAACAAGGATCCAGCTATTTAGTAAAAGAGGATGGCATTGTTCGGTATCAGTGATGAAAAAGTTTTAACACATTTTATTAAGTAATCAGAAATTAGTCATCTCATCTCATCTCTTGGTACCTCGAAACAATATAGAAGTTTCAAATTCCTTTGTAATATAAGTTTAGAAGTGAGATTTTAACTTAAAATGTATTATTCCCGAAATTAAAAAATTGTTCTTCAACTACTTCATCAGTGACACCGACCAATTGAATTTGGAAGAAGCCGCAATCGTCGTAGGTTTTAAAATTATCAAAGGTATCCAGCGTAGTAAGAAAGAGCACAGTGTGTGGAAGAACTACTTTTTGAGAAAATCGACAGACAGCCATTCACTGGAAATATTTGATAGAGAATTGCGTTGAAATTAAAACTCATATTCTGACAGGTGAACTGACATCAAATGAAGGGTGAACTTATATAATAGGCATCCTGTTTCTGAGGTGTAACAAAGCTAAGAAAATCAACAGAATGCATATATCAGTAAAAGCGAAATCTGAACCAATTTTTGTGTATACAATCAACATTCTTAGCGTCGGCCAACAAAAAAAGTTGTATGGATGGGTCCACACTCTCCATCTGGAAACGCTATGATTGTTTCCCCATTTCAGAGACCTCAATTCTCCATGCGCAATTAAACAAGTGTTCCGTTTCTCATTAATTTAAACTCAGCAATTTTGACAGGCTCTAGGAGATTCTCCATCTCAAATTATGTTGCTTATTGAAAAAATCCCAAAATAAAAAAATAAATGGATATTGTGCTCTTTCTTACGGCAGTATAATTGAAAAGATCTTTTAAATAGATCACTTTCATACCTCATCAAAAATAAAATAAAATTAAATAGATACAATTTTCAAAAATAAAAATATTCCTGTTTGTAGTACAATACAATAAAAATATTTAGCTGAGTGTTAGGAACAAAGAGAAAATCAAAGCAAATGACAATAACTCAAAAAGAACAAACAAATGCGGAAAAGTTACAGCAAATAGAAAGTGAAAGCAGGCAGGGAATATCTGAAATGCTCCCATTTAAAATGCTTGTGAAAAGGAAAAAGGGTAATGTGAATAGGACGTCTTTCTGTCAAACGGACCTAAGCGCCATGGGGTGAGGAAGGTAGAGGAAGGCTTGGATTGGCGGCGGAACCGGGCGTCGGGATCATTCTGTCCTATGCTCGCAATGCTTTTCCATGGCGCTTAGTTCCGTTTGACAGAACGCGCTATACGGCATTCTAAATTCCTCAAAAGGAACTCAAATTGGTGCTTAGTTCTGTTTGACAAAAAAACGTCCAATACAGAAAATCATGTCTTCCTATAATGAAAAACTAAACCAAGGCTAAAATGCAAAGTATTTCAAGCAGTCACCTCTGTTAATGCTTGCAAGCTCACAATGAATATTTGACGTAGGATTCAGTAATTGGTTACCTTCAGGTTTTCATTAAGTGTTATGATAGATCGAAAAATGAAAAAAACTCAACAGGACATTTCTCTCTACTTCCACTGATTTGGAGAAATAAATTTCAAGCTGTCATTCTTTCTTTAAAATAAGTACAAGGTTTAAGTTCTTGAAATTTTCTCAAAATATTTGACCGGTTCCTCCTCAAAACTTAATAAAAAACTTGAGAGGGCACATCAAACATTGGTTGTCTGACAAAAATTACCAAAAATGTCACCAATTAATCTGTTGATGATGATGTCAGCCACTGACGCCTGACAAAGTTTTTAATTTCTGGACGGCATCAGCCAACGGAGGCTGACAGTTGAATGAAGAGCATGATAAATCAATTCACCTGAAAAGTAGGATCTTTTGAAGTTCACGAAACATGTCTTCTATTTATAATTTAAACAGTTGAGGAGTAATGCCAGTTCAAAAATGAGCAGAAAACTTGATCAGGAAACACATCAGTCATCAGTTGCTGAAGGGCTAACAGTGAACCTATCCTTAGATATTTTTACCAAAAAGCACCTAATCATCAACATGGTGAGTGAACATTTTTGGGGGACAAGTCTAAAATTTCTATTGATTGTACAGTCAAATTGCGAGAAAATTTCGTATTTTTCTAAATAAAACTTTCTCCCTGTGATAACTACTCAACTACTGCAAAATGGAAGAACGTTTCGCCCCTACAGACAAATGCCAACTGCCTTACGTTTCTAATTCTCAGACAAATTGTGAGGTGTTGCATAATTTCGAGAGTTTTAGAGATCAACACTGGACACTGGAGTTTAGTGACTACACTGGAACATCGTTTCAGAACACGGTTTATAAATAGAGCAATGAAAATAATCTGAAAATGAAAGACCCTTTCTCTTCTGTAATACTAATTTGGTAATCTTATTCTAGAAGTAACATCGGGAAACTTCAGTTTATATCACAAGGAAACTTAATTTCATGAGTAGGACAGAGGTATTGTACATACATATAGGCTATAAATTTAAAAAAGGCAAAAATTCTAAGAAGCGTGCAATGAGGTGAATTTCACAACTTTGCATCAAAGAGGCAGTGTCAAGATTTGGAAAAACAACGCCACTACAAAAGAAAAGTCAAAGAAGTTCCACTGCTTACGTTGTGGAAACGAAATAGGAATATATTTGGCCAAGGGAAAAAGAACAATTTTAGGCGACGGAGTCCCAGCTAAAAATCTGATTTCATGAAAGTGAAATTCAACTCGACCCATAATTTATTCTTGGAGGTTTGCTCCTTTTGACCACGAATAATTTTTATTTTCTGTTCTCAGTAGAAAAAAATCTACTCTTACAGGAGTAAGCCGCATTTTTGTTCGCACAGTTGCACGATTGCTTTGCTTTTTCTTGACCATCATGATGGATATTTACATGATGAAATTTACAGTTGGAAAAATGAATGGTGAAAGCTGACAAATTTGAGACTTGTGTGCATCAATTAAATTTGAAATATTAAAAACTCAGCCCAACTTTGTTCAGAATGGCGCAAAAGGAGAGTTTTTGTTACATGCAAATTTTCTCTTCAATAATGATTACAAAGTCAGACCTCAAATTGTTATCTCCCATATGGTGGAACGCAACTACATTTCTATGCTGCAAAATTTGTCCTCGCAAATTATATTTTTACTGTGAATCTGATTGGCACTTCTATCTGAAAATTTTGGTGATTTTTCCTATAATTGCTGGCAAGCATTAGGAAAATTTTGGACAGAAATTGCACCGTCATATTCTTGTAAAGAATTGAATTGTTTGAGCTAATTTTGCAGTATTGAAATATAGTTACGTTCCCCTGTCTGAGACACAATAAAATTTGCCACATTTAACTTGAGAACATTGATGAGCGTTAGAGAACTAAATTATTAGAACATATCCTGAACTGTCATGAATGTTATGATACTTAGTGAAACCAATTAAACAGACTTAAAATCACAGACTACAAAAATCAATATCCATCCGGGATAATTGTGAGCCGAAATACTTGATAGAATATAAATAAATGACTCGCAGCAAGTGTTTACAAAAAATACATCCAGACAAAACTCACTATCATCTTTTTGCCTTCTTGCTATCTGGGAGCTCTAAGAATCCACCTGGCGAAGACTGTCTCTTCCGCTTTTGTGAACTTTGGCTGAGGTCATTGGATACTTCTTCACATCTGGATTTCCGCTCACGGGAGCGCAATCTGGGGCTAGTTATTTTCTCAACTACTGAACTACCATTGAGCTTAATTTTATCATTAATAATATTTTTACCATCACTGGGTGACGAGACAACACCAGTCGATGCTTTGCTATGGCTCCTAGTTGGACGCTCTGATTTTTCAGGTAAACTCTCAGGCTCATCAATTTCCATTGGTTCTTCTTCATCTTTCGAAGAGTTTAAACTGCTCAGAAAGGCAATAAAAGATAGCTGAAATGAGTTTTTAGCAGGAGAAGACAAGTTTTTAGGAACAGAGTGCGTGAGATTTTTTGTGAGGTCTGGAAACTTTTCTGTGCTCTCACATGTTGAGGTGGACAGCTCTTTTTTACCAGATTCTTTTTCTCTGGTCAATTCGCTTAAGCCACTATCCGATTGTGACCTTTTAAGCTGACTCGAAACGTTCTGTGTTTCGACTCCTTCTTTCAATTTCCTGATCAGAACTCGGAGATCTTTCTTTATTACTTTAGTGCCACAAATCACTTTAGTAGGCAGAGGCTGAATTTCAGGTACTTCGTTTGACTGCTTTATTTGACTGATATCTGAATTTTGAGATTTTGGGCTTTCTGATTTATCCGTAGCCAATCTTGAAGTGCTATCTGAGGACTTTGGTTGAGTAGGGGCGTTTTCTGCATTTTTGCAAACTTCAGGAAGTTCAATACTAGCGACAACGTTTGGACAATTTGACGGTATTGGTGACTGATTCTTTGAAATTTTCTCTCGACAAGCATTGCGCTCCGAGGACCTTCGCGGAAGAGATTCATTACGGATATTTCCACTACCTTTGGATAATCTTTTGCTGGATTCTGCGCTTGGAGTAGGCAAGGCATTTTGCGGGAGATTTGTCTGAGTTTTTTCGGGAATTTTGGGAACCTGATCCAATGTCAAACTTTTTCCGCTGAAATTAGAATCAGAATCACTCTCCGACTCTTTAGGCATTGCTGACGTTTGGTGATTGGAGATGGACCCCTCTATCTTCTCTGTTAGGGCGTACGTTGCAAAATTAGTTTGAAATGAGCTTTTTTCAACGTCCTTATTGATCATAAAACAGACTGCAGATTCAGGAACTTCACTTGACTTATGACTTTCGGTTTCAATGTCCAAATCTATATTATTCGCCACATCACTCCCTTCAGTATTGGAATTTACTCTTGCAGAATTGCCAACGCTAGGCTCAGGGTTCGATTGACCATTATCAATTTTATTATTGAAATCAGAACTAAATTTTTCACTTGCAACAACGGATTTATCAACAAGATTCGGTGTTTTGCTGCTAACAACACTATCCTTGGTATCGAAACCATTAGTTTTATCACGATTAGTTTGATCACCACTAGTATCAGTGTTATTCACTGAGTTAGTTTTACCCGCACAATTTATTTCTTGTAAGCTATCACTCATGGTTGGATCCGTTACACCTATAATTTGATTGATATCAATGGTGGAGAGATTGTTTTTCCTAATTCGTCTGTTCTGTTTTTCGACAGGTGACGCTGATTCATCATCACATGAGCTCGTCTGCGAGTCGGACTCATTCTCAAAAACATTAATTTCATTTGATTTCTCACCATTTTGATTTGCAGAATTTGGACTACCGATTTGCTTCCTCGTAGAATTGACTGATCTTTTTTTTCTCTGACCCTGAGCTTTCAAGGGTACACTATCAGGCGATACAAATGCATTAAATTTGCTGGCTTTGTTTTGAGTATTCTTCTTGTCAAAGGAACATTGCGAGGAGTCATTTTTCACCTGGGCCTTAATACTATTGGCTGCACTTGAATTAGACTTTTCGATTTGAACTGAGTCAACAGCTTCAAGTTGAGAAGCGAACTTTCTACTTGATCTTCCGCGTTTCTTCTGGACAGGGAATTCTTCATCAAACGGGACCACAGGCAGATTTTTAAGAGGTGAATATACAAAGTTATTCTTGGGCAAACCATTGGTTAAAGGAAGAGTTTGACCATGCTCCACCATTATATCTGAAGTGACATGCACCCTGGATTTGGACTTACCAGAGAGGACTTTCTCAGTTGTATCAGGTCTTCCACGTTTTGCTGGTGAAGATGCATTGGTATCGAAATCAAGGTTGCAGCGCGCACGTTTCAAGGGTGTTTTGTGTTTGTCTATGCCAACTTCACTCGAGATCGGCGTACCAAGCTCGTTGCTAAGAATGCTTTCTGACATTTTCTCACCCTTCGGTGTTGAAATTGACACTTGAGCTCCGTCTTCATCGACAATGCTTTGAGAGAGGCTTCCTTCAGAGACATTGTGTGTTGCTATTTTGTCTGCATCCTACAAAAAACAAATGATTGAATTGCCAATTACTGATTGAATTCTAAGAATAAAAATTGGACATTCAAAAAAGACCTCTGAAGAAAAAGGCTACAATCCTGCTAGTGTCACACTTTCAACACTCATGCATATTTTTTTGAAAACTTAACAGGGTGCTTTGTGAGCCTACACGAATAATTTTATTCTTCACAACGCTTGGGAATTTACCCTGTGATTTATTGCCTTCCAACTTCTAGAGTGCATGCACACTAGGGTGGAGCGTTTTTGGGTTTTTTTTTATTTTGAAAATGGACATTGTACAGTAGTTGTGAAATGGTCTAAAAGTAACGCCTGAATTTTCCTGAATTTTTTCGTCAACGTTTAGGCCTCCCGGATTGACGTTGACGTCAAAATTAGCGGAAAATCCGGTTTTTTTGACGATAACTTGGCAACAATGGCAAATACGACAAAAATGCATAGAATCTGAGTTGTTGGAAATTAAATTTCCAACAAATCACTTTCTTATCGTTTTTTCTGTAAGTGCAACCGTTCTAGTGTAAAATTCGAAAACCCGTATTTTTCCGGAAATTTGGCACAAATTCTCGTTCAGTCCGGGAGAAATACGGGAGAAAGAGGGCTAACTCGGAACAAATTGCGTGATAGACTTTTCCTACAAGAATACCATCATCGGGTTGGCCTGAATAACACAAAACATACAAAATGTTTTCCACAGCTCCACCGCGGATCACCCCTTAAAATTCCTAAAATTCAAAAAGGCGGCTGTGTTTAGATTATCAAGCATCAAGGTAATTTAAAATGTGCATCTCGTGTGGTATGAGGTGTCGTTTCCTATGTCTTTTTAGTCGTAAATTTCAAATATAGTGTTAAAAAAAAGCCCCTGGTCAAACGGGGTGCATCAAATCCAGGATGGCGGCCAACTTTGAACGGCGGGAGGGTAGCTTATAAAGTTTGATTAGTGAATTACATTTTAAATTGAAAGTAAAGTAACGATCTCTGGATAATATTGGTTTAGCATTTTGATTAGAGGTTCAAAATTAAATTGTCTTTTATAAGACCTCATCTATGATCCGATGAATGACACCTGGTCAGGAGGCGTAAAACTGGCAATCCAGGCCGAATCCGCAGGTTACTAGGGTTTAAGATGCCGCAATGTTTGCGGTGAATTTAGATGATTTTGTTCGTAAATTTTAAATTTACAACAGAAAATGCCCCATAATCGTGCGGGGTCTCCCGATAATGGGATAAGTGGATGACTTCTAAATGTGAAGGACAGAACAGATAATTTCAAAGTGTGATAGTAAAAAATCTTTGAAATAAATCTAAAAGTTTTCTTAAATGTTCACAATTAATATTACTCCTCAATAAGAGCTGAAATCGAGGATGGTGACTATCTCCATATGAAGAATCAATAAAATGACACTACAAAATAAATGTACAATTCAAAGAGAGACTGCTGTATAAGCGATATTTACATGCAATTGAGTTACCTATTACGAAAAGAAAAATAATGAAAAAATAAAAACATTGATGATTCATACCACCGGATGATGTTCCTCAGTATATTTTTTGAAGGAAGGTGTCGTCAACTCTTGATTTTAGAGAAAATTGCTTTTTTTTTATTTCGCCATGATTCTCACGTGACCTAATTTGCTTTATTCACATTTCGAATAAAAAGAGTCTTGGTTCTCGGGGGGAATAAAAGGATTTTAAACGCGAATATTACTTACACGGAAATCGGTACCTTAATTTCGAAGATGTATAATAAGACATATTTTAAAATAAGACGTAATGCTAAAAGGAACTATGTTGCACACAAACACCGTTCAGATATAGCCTTCCAGCATTATACCTTCACCTCTGGTTAACACTACTGCCTTTTACAGGCAGTCATCGTGGATTTGAGACACCCTGTTTGACCATTCATTTTCCACTTAATTTTTTACTTCACATTTTACCAAAATTACACAGGGAGTAATACTTCACTTCACTCATTGCGTCATTATTTAACTTGCTTAAGTCCTCCCACCCTTCAAACTTATCAGTCTTTTTTGAGTTTTGTGCAGCCCCGATTAACAAGGTGGTATTCATCACGTCATACTGGAAATCACGACCAAAATTATGATGAAACAACTAAAGTATGTACCGGTTTGCGATGTTGCAAAATTCTTGGAATTTTCAAATATTGCAAAGGAGATACCTGGTTTGGGAATTTCGCCGTCGATATTCTTTAAGGAACTAATACCTCACTTGACTTATTACGCAAAGAAGTGGTACTAGGACGAACTATCAGGGGGGAATGTGAGGGCATATGAGACAAACATACTCTCCTGCCGTTCAAAGTTGGCCGCCGTCCTGGATTTGATGCACCCCGTTTGACCAGGGGCTTTTTTTTAACACTATATTTGAAATTTACGACTAAAAAGACATAGGAAACGACACCTCATACCACACGAGATGCACATTTTAAATTACCTTGATGCTTGATAATCTAAACACAGCCGCCTTTTTGAATTTTAGGAATTTTAAGGGGTGATCCGCGGTGGAGCCGTGGAAAACATTTTGTATGTTTTGTGTTATTCAGGCCAACCCGATGATGGTATTCTTGTAGGAAAAGTCTATCACGCAATTTGTTCCGAGTTAGCCCTCTTTCTCCCGTATTTCTCCCGGACTGAACGAGAATTTGTGCCAAATTTCCGGAAAAATACGGGTTTTCGAATTTTACACTAGAACGGTTGCACTTACAGAAAAAACCATAAGAAAGTGATTTGTTGGAAATTTAATTTCCAACAACTCAGATTCTATGCATTTTTGTCGTATTTGCCATTGTTGCCAAGTTATCGTCAAAAAAACCGGATTTTCCGCTAATTTTGACGTCAACGTCAATCCGGGAGGCCTAAACGTTGACGAAAAAATTCAGGAAAATTCAGGCGTTACTTTTAGACCATTTCACAACTACTGTACTATGTCCATTTTCAAAATAAAAAAAAAGCCCAAAAACGCTCCACCCTAATGCACACCTGCTTTTTTTAAGGCTTTAACTTTGAGGAAAAACTACTCTAAATTTTTTGGGAACCGTATCGTTTCAATCATGAAGGTTAAATCTCAAAAAATGAGAAAGCAAGCAAGCTGGAGAGAAAAGTATTTTACAGATTTAAATGCATTTATCTACAGCTATCATTTATCTATGGAGTTTTTAACCGAACTTGTTAAGATGGACTTTTACAATTCCATTTTTCAGAGCATGAAATAGGAGAAAATTGAATTTTCACAAGGAGGAAAAAGTACTTACAACCCAGTGCTTTTTGCAACATAACCCACGGTCAGGGTCCAGGTGAATGTTGCCTGTTTTGTGTTCTTTGCAGAACGAGCTAACACAAAAACCGCAGCGAAACACCTTCCGCTTCCCACAGATGTCACACAAATGCCAAGGACATAGCCACTGACCTGTAAAATTTTATTGAACTCATGAGAAAAAAGTCGTAAGAACCAAAAGTTACAAAAGATGAGGCTGTTCATTGGGATAGAGCGCATAGGTCTCTTAAAATTTTAAAATTGAGGGATTAATGCCTGCACTGAGATTTCTTCCTAAAATTTTACGACAATGACGCAGGGGACAAAAAAACTTTTTTTTAATCACTGAGCATTTTATTGTACGTTCCATGTAAGTATGTGCTCACAAGTAAACTTCAAAATAAGCAAATATCATTCTATCATGATAAATAAATAAATAAAATCCATCAAGGAAATTTGGAGATTTAAAAGATAGGAGTCAAAAAGTTAGAAAATAAAGCAAAATTTGAATTGAAAAGGTAAGAAATATTCTGAAACATAAAGTTAAAAATGGAAGCTTGCAATAATTAGAAAGTTCAAATTTTTTAGGTAATTATTATTATTATTTTTTTTTTTTTTTTTGGTAACTTGGAAGAGGGAACACTTCCAGTACAAGTATTACTGACGGGCCACAGGCCAAAGTCAGTAACACATACTATCTTGCTGAAATAAAAAGTAAATGTTATTTCAAAGTAAAATTAAAACATTCAAAAAAAAAATTAAATTTTAAGTGAAATCAGAAAATTACTCGATATTAAGAAACGATCTGACAATACTTGGCAAGCTTATGACGACGGACTTCTGCATTGAATGAAGCAGGTAACTATCTATTCCAAGGTCTCGAAGATGTTGAACTAAACTTTTTGGAACTATCCCCGTTACTGACATTATAAGGGGCTTGATGAAAACAATGTTCAGGTTCCATAATCGCTTCATTTCTGCAGCTAAAGGCAGATATTTTACCATCTTTTCTTGATACTTCAGCTCCAAGTTATGATTATTAGGGATGCTAATATCAATGATGTAAGCAGTGCGATCTCGCTTATCAACAAGCACTATGTCCGGCCTGTTTGCCATGATGGTTTTATCGGTTAAGATTGGGTTATCCCAATAGAGCCGGAAGCGCTGATTCTCCAGGACTGTGGCTGGGCAATATTATTATTATTATTTTTTTTTTGTGTGTGTTGACTGGAAAAACATGCCATTAGGAACAAGCAGGGCTATGCCCTAGCCGTTGGTAATAGAAAAAGAAGAAGAGGAAGAAAAAGATTAATTTTTCCTTTTAAACATAATTTTCAATTAACAAAGAGATTTGAATTGGAAAAAATTTTCAAAGAGCTGAACATTTGAGGTTGTTTGTTCAAAAAAGGATGAGGAGTAGGACACATACCTTTGGGGTAGGATTTTTTCCCTATGCAATCCAAGTGATACGCTTTCGGGCATTTTTTATTATTGCAAACAATCAGTTCACCACCTTCATCACAGATAAAGCAAAAGTCATCCTCTCCAACTAATACAGATTGTCGTTTTCGGCGTAATTTTTTGTTCTCTTTGCCCCTCCGTTTTGCTTTCAAAGAGCCTTTTGGGTTGGAACCTTCACTACTGGATACCTGAAACATAATTTACAGATGATCCAGGTAATTTAAAATTACTATCATCGAGGAAAAGTCAATAAAAAGGTTTCAAATATTGAAACATCTATAATAAGTGCGACAATTTTGGGACCTGCAAGCTGATTGTTGAAACTGGTATTTGAATTGATTTATTAAGAAACACGCACTGTGTAAAGACAAAAATTTTAGACCTTTTTAGTCCGCAGTCCGCGCTTTTTCAGTACTTCTGGACTGCCCTTAAAAATCAGTACTATTTCCGGAAATACCTGACTTGTAGACACCCTGAGGACTTTCTGGCATAATTGAAAATATTTAATCTATGGAAAATAAAAAATGCAAAAAATAATGGAATTTTACAAGTAAATTGCAGTCTAAAATTCTAAAAATGAATATAAATATTCCGGAGTGGTTTTCATCCTTTGTATTCGAGAGCTTTTTGTATTGTACAAAATTTAATCAAATCAAATGTAAATAAAAACTCCTAAATCAAAGAAACCGATCTCTCTAGAATAAAAATCCATAAGTTTTTAACTCACTTTGTCAACTTTTTTGGCTCCAATAAACCCTCGACAAGTGGAAGCCCCACACAGACATTCTTTCTTCTCTGCTGTCCCTGTGTCCAGATTATAATTGAAGACTAGCTCTGAATTTTGTGGGATATCTTTCAGGGCAAACAAACCAACTCTGGTATCACCGTTCACCGTCCACTTTTGCGTTTCACAGTTTGGGTCACAGGAATGATTCATGAACCTGCCACAAACAGAGATAAATCAATGCGACAAATTAAACGAAGGAATCTCCCTGGAATTTTGTAATAAATGAAGTTTTTAGGAACTTTAAGTTCTATAACTGAAAGATCAAGAGCCTGCAGTTTTCAAATTAATTAACTTCACCAAAATACTATCTTGGAGAAAGTTATTTTCTTCTTATGCGAGGTGACAAGTATTTTTTCATTCAAAGTATTCAGGATATTTTTCCGAAACTATCATTTCAATGGCCACAATGAGAAACGGCAAATCTCCATTGTACCGTTTTAAAATCTCCGCAGATAATTTACTTTTTTGAAAAGAAACAAGCCGACTTAATAACTTGAAATCCACACAGAATACTCTAACAACAGAGAAAACAATTAAGAACGTTTTCAGTAATTAAGTTCTCCAGTTTTCCAAAGGAAAAATAAAATATGACAAGGAGTCTACAATGTAGTTTCGCACTTTGGCCATCAGTATTCAACATTTTTAATGCACATTGATGTAGAACTTTTCAAATTCTTGCTTTGAGATTTAGAAGAGACGGTAAGACCGCAATCTATCGGATCGTGAATTTAAGATATTCCACAGTTAAATGGATTAATCTTCCGGTTTCTTCAAAGGCTTCAAACTATTAGAATTATCAGATCGATTCATCACTCCTGTGAAATCCAATAAATTGAGGTTTTTACTGCTACTTTACTGTAGTAAAGACTTAGCTGACTACTCGAGAACAATTGGGTTTGCTTTTCCAGATAAAATAAAGGTCATAACCGGATGAAATTAAAATCAGGATCGTCAGGAGGACTCAATATCAATAAAAAATACCGACAAGATTAGTACATAAAAGTCTACCTTACCTCGCAACGTTTCCTTTAGGTCCTGCATCTACCATTCGATTTGAGTCTATAGTGAGAAAATAGAAGTTCTCATCGTTGTTTTTCATCATGCGCTGAACGCGATTTTTGTATTCCTGTTCATTGATAATTTCCCCAACATACTCAATAACAAAGTCACCTGTCGAATTTTAAATACAAATAATCAGAGCAGAGAACTTGAAGTAAGTGATAAAATAGACTAACTTAATTTCAATCTGATGCCAAGTCAAAATTTGAAGACCTTTCCACTCTGTACCATAAATAGTTTGATGCAGTGTTTGAATCAATGGAATACCATTGATATAACATTGGACAACATTGATACAACAATTGGAATAACATAAATATTAGTTTCCTCTAAAAAATGAGTCCTTACCTTAGGAATTCGAGTGTATGAAAAAAATGCATTCTATGCATTATTCGATGTCCGAATGTTATGTAAAACACTTTAGGAACAGATAGTAAAGAAATAAGATCATCTAGTTAAGAGGAAGACAGTTGTGCGTACCTTTTTTAAGGTTAACCAGAGTCCGAAGGCCCCAACCGCGTTTTTCTGTTCGGAATGGCTTGACAGGTGGGTAAAGCCTCTTCTCAAAGCGCTGATTATTGCAACGCTCACCTGCTTTGCAAATCATAGGGTTGCATTCCACCATCAACATTCTGTCGAAGAAAAATAAACAATAAGCCTATCTTCTCAGACTGAGATTTATTTTAAATCTAGACACTGGTCAAAAAAAAAAAAAAAAAAAAAAAAAAACTTGTACACATTTGTACAGAGATCAACTGGCAGACTGAGTTGTTTGACCTAAAAAACTTTGTTGTGACATAGAGCAGGAAATACTAGGGGGCTACGCCCCCTGGCCGCTACGCGGCCCAACCCCCTGAAGGCGCTCCGCGCCATCAATGGGCCGCTTCGCGGCCCTATTTTTACCCTCCTATCAGTGTTAGTTTTATTTTTCCCCTAAAAAAATACGATATGAGGTATACTTTAATTTTAAACTTTACTTAAAATTACTTTAAAATTAAAATGACGCTTTTTGGAATGACTGCTTGATGAAATATTGCAGTAAAACAATGAACAATGATAGTCAGGTAATAATTAAGACTTCATGAGTCGGGGATCGAACCCATACTGTGATCATGGCAGATGCGTTTGCTTGACGTCTTAGACGACTCAGCCACCGCTCAACATGAAATTGTTGGGGCGAATCTTGTGTAGATAAGTGTAGAGCTGATGCGCAGGCTACCCAGCTACTGCGCAACCTCCTCGACCATTGCGCATCCTCCCGCGCATAGCGGTAGCAGTACCGGAGCATTCTGTAAACTCACTCACTTTTATAACGTGATTTTAAAAAAACCTGGGTCCTTTTTCCAAAATCTGATTGCAGCGGGCTCATCTAGGGCCTATTACCTTTCGATTTACGCAAAAATCATGGAAATCGGCCCGGTAGAACGCTCAAACGAACTATGACAAAAAGTATAAATTTACATTGTTTAAATGGGAGAATTCGCAACTTTACCACGTAATATAAAAAAACCTGGGCCATATTTTGAAAATCTGAAAAGAGTTGGCTTATCTAGAGGCAATTGCCCGTCGATCGCCGCAAAAATCATGAAAATCGGCCCGGTAGAACGCTGGAACTAAGCGTCACCAGTTTCGCAAAATTAGGAGGTCTTGGAGCTTATAGTATAGATACTCGGACATAAATTATTAAAGTCACTGGTGATTTTGATCTTGACTCCAAAAGTGTTTTTCATTTCATCCCCAGTGAGGAATGAGCACCAGTTTTTTTGGAAAATTTTAAGGCGAGATTTTTGAAAATCCTCGGAATCCTCGAAAATCGGAAATCTTAACCTGGTGAAAATTACAGCGCTCATTTTCATTGAGCACTAAACAATCAATCTAGTGCCACTTACTAAGTTCTGTGAATTTTTCTAAAACGAAATATTCAGAAACCGTTTAGTCGATTTCCGAATTGTCTTGTTCTTCCTAAAAGAACGAGAAACAAACTTTAAGATTAATTTTCAATTTAAAACACAAGAGAACATGGATAAAATGCATTCTGTAGAAATAATCTACAGGTTCAATGATAGACTTACCTATTTAAACATTCATCATCTTGGGAGCAAGGGTTTTCTTTGTTCGGGTCACACTCACAAGCCGACAGACCGGATTCATTCAGTTCGACTGGTTTTACACTCCCGACGCACTTGTTTGCTTTAATTTTAATGTATTGTGGCGGTTTCTGCAAAAAAAAAACAAGCGTAAGTTGAAACTTGGAAGAAGAAAATGTATTACAGTTTTGAGAGGGATATTAAATAATACAATGTCTCAGGAAGTCTTCGTATTGATCGGATTTGGAAAATTTACTTGAAATGGAAATTTTTTAATCTTCTTTTAGCAAGTGATAGAATCCGTTGAGGAATCCTTTTGAATTGGGGGAAACAAATTTTAATGTCAGCATCACATTTATGAGTTTAATTGACAATTCCGATCGATGTGCTGGGTGCAGAAACGACATATCTCCATTTCGGTGTCTCAGAGTTTCCACTGACATTTCGTCCATTACCGTAGAAGCAAATGTAATTCGTTGAAATTTTTACTGGATATTCCAAATGATTTTACAATGCTCTAAACGAATTTTAGAAAATGCATATGATAGTATCTTTTCTAAAGTATGAATGAACAGTGAAGATTTTGAAACAACGCAACCAAGAAGTGTCCTTTCGGCATCCGACACCTTGACTATATCACATTAATTACAGAATGTGCATTTAAGTATTCATAGTGAATCCGATAGCAATTTTTTCAGTAATCGCTCATTTTGGCCAAAGCTGATTGAGTAAACTCTACATTATTGGGGCTAAAACAATTAATTTCACTCCACAATTTTTAAAAAATCCTATTTGCAACGCTTTGTGTCCAAATATTTGTTCCGATAAGATCGATTCCAGTATGCGTAGTTTCGTAATATACACAAAATTCAACAGGAGTAGTTTTTACTCTTACTATTAGTCAAATTAGCAAAAGTAATATAAAATTTAGACACAAAATTACGGTAAAATTACCATTTCTTGACGTGACTCCTCTTCTCGTTGCATTTTGGCTGCGCACCACTCTTTGTGGGCTACGGCTGCCTCTTCGACTGCTTTGCGGTATTTGTCGTTCATGTTTTTCTTCGAACCCAGACTCTTACCAGCAGAGTCACCTTCATGGTAGAGGAACACTCTCCCTCGGCTGACCCAATTGTGATCGCCGGACCCAAAGAATTTCACGGCAAACTCGCCTCGAAGGTGGGAGGCTTGCATTACCCTCTCAGGAATTTCATGAGGGAGCAAAATTTGAGCAGGCCACCATCTATAATGCCCTAACTTGACCCATACAATCTCTCCGAAGAGCGGAAACCGCCCAGTCTTACAATCTTCACAAATGAAACCATCTGCGTATTCTTCTGGGGTAAGTTTGACACACGGGGCGTGGAAGGTTGCCGGACATAGGTCGCAGCAAATGAGATCTCCACCTGAGGAACAAATGAAGCACCAATTCGCTGAGACATGATGATTCCTCGCTTTGGGTGGATTATAATGCCGTGGGCAAATTATTTGCAGATTGCTGAGGATTTCCGAGCCTGCAGGGACGCAATAATTTCCAAAATGATACGCAGTTGGGCACTTGATGCATCTGACGAGTTGCTTCTCGTGGAGAGCCCGTTCCTTGATGACGCTAGGGTTGTCTGACACACATGTATGACAGACATGCTGCGGACAGGTGAGCACCTTGTCCTGTATCTGACCGGTCAGTGTGTCTCGCCGCTTTGAGCCACCCGTCAGAATTGCTTGAGGCCAAGAATGTAGACAACTCTCATGGAAAAGACGACCGCACCAGGCTGAAAATGTAAGTTAATAGATAAGCTACAAGCAGCACTTCATTGTACTTTGATGCTGATAAATTGGATAAAAATAAAGCAACATCTTAGAGAAGAGAAATATTACTATACTGGATGCGACTGGATGCATGCCACAATATAACAAATTTTTTTTCAATTTTCGTAAAAGTAGAGGTTGGTAAAGTGTCAAATTAAATATAACGAAAAAAATTAGCATAAACAACAGTTAACTGATTCTCTGATATACCGCCCGACCTACCTGAAGAAGGCAACGTCCCATTTTTAATCTGTTATAAAGTATTTTCGCTTCTCCTTGCCATCGCACTAAATTTTAATTGAAACTTAAAATCCTGAATCAAACACCTCTAGCATTGATGTATTGATCGTAATTATTTTATTGTCAGAATTGATCAATCATGGTTTACAGCAGGAGCCTTAGGAGTCGTTTCTGCCTTTTCATTTATGTAATTGATTTTGAATTAGGTCAAAAAGAGTACTAAGACTTACGAGTTCGACATCTGATCTTGTCTTCTTCATTTGTTTTCGGATGAACATCTAGTCCACACTCAAAACAGGGTGGAATCTTTTTCAGCAAGCAATTGTGACACAGGAAGTCGCCGTTAACACTATCTTTATCACCGTTTTTGCCTTTAGTACCAGCCTGATAAAAAAAGGCATACGAAATAATGGTAAAAATTGGTAGCCACAGGATGAAAAATATTTTTAAAAAAGTAAAATTTTTACCAATAGGAAATTATTCACATTGAGAGAAAGCTTATGAACGAGCAATTCATTGATGACCTGAAGAACAAATTAGGTTGATCTAAAAATGTTTTTAAAGGAGTCAAAATTTCGCCTTTGATCTACTGACTTAAGCTCTAAGCCTTTTGCGATGTGCTGGGCAAATCTTGGCACTCATGTTTACGATGTATTGATGATTTTACCATGGACTGCATGCTTGTCACTATTTAAAAGAGTAGTGTGATTGACCTAAAATTTATTTTGTAGAGTAGGTTATTGCTTTGTTTTGGTATTTGCATAATATTGTGCTGTTGAACATTTGATAATTTCAAATTTTCTTGAAATTTGCTAATTATAAGATTTTCTTGACTTTGCCGGCAATATATCAACGACACAAAATGATTTTTACTAAATTTTCCCCCTGTTTCCTCAAAAAATAAGAGATTAATGTGTAGTACAAGCGGGATCGTTATTCCTGCGAAAAATAGTTTTCCGTAACCCGCCGTACATGACTCAGTTGACCACAGGAGATTACCCGGGCTCGAAGTCATGTTAGAGAAGAAAGCCTTTTCCCCTCATTGATATCGCATCTTCTCCGACCGTATCTCTCACATCTTCGTTTCCCCTCATTGCAGCATGCATCAAATTGCGATTATCCGGAATTTACGATCACACGTCATATCTGATCGAATCCGTCGCCCACTTTTACTGATACGGAAGACAAGACTTGTCTCACTGGGTCAACAGTCGGTTAGTTTAATTTCATTTCGAAGAGGACAGAAGATCCATCGCTCTTGGCGCCCTGGCCCTGCTGATATCTAGGCGCCAGTGTAAGGCGCCATGCAAGCAGGGGGGAGGGGGGGGGCAACCAGCCTTTGTGTTTGAGCTAATTGAAAATTACTTCGATTTTTTGTTTCTTTTTAA